GGCGCAAATCGAAGCTATCACTTTCAAAAGTCACGTCGATCGCAGATCGAGGTTAATTAGCGACGACACCACCTGGGATGGTAACGAAAGATTTGCAACCGAATTGCCATGCTCGGTAACAAAGGGATAACAGAACTATCGAGAGGGTTTATAAAAGTTTTTCCCGGATTGGCATCGGACTCCCAGAGCTAATGTTGACAAAAATAACATTTCTCATGCGCGATTCTCACCGATAACCCCCCCCCCCTCGGGTGTACTGCTTGGTCCACTTCACATCGACTATAGTACTTTACTTAATGGCCTTCAGTAGATCTATACTTACTGTTATGTACACGGGGATCACAGCCGTCAGTAAAAAGGCAAGTGAAATGAGGTAGAATATACGTGATATCAACAGTAGTACACACATACGTTTTTCCGCCGTGCCAAGTGCAGAAGCTAAGGCGAGTCTCTCAGATTGCGCGGATAAGAATGAACGGGAAGTCAGGACTTCAGGTAGGTTGCGAAAGTAGAACGATTAGGTTCCTCAATCAAGATACTTAGGTTAAAACCTGAGCATAGAGCAGAAACCGTGTGTGGAAGAGCAAATTCGCTGACATGTCACTTGTCCAAACCCACTTTCAAAAAAATAAAGTTGCTTACCCTCCAACAAATAGCAACTCTGACAAGTGCAGCAACCAGTAAAGATCACTGGAACACAGAGGTACGCAAATCACCGCATCATATGTTAAAGTTCAGGAGAGTTGAGCAAGACTCCGATAAGATGAACTCCATAGTCACCCCCAAAGTATCGGACAGGTGCGGTTCAACGTCGAATTGCAGAAAGTGAGGCAATGGCAAGTCTAGGGGATACGGAATCATTGTTGATAGGGAAGTTAAAACAAATAGTCCAATTCGATCATCTAGCTGCTGAACAGGGCTGAATCCAGATCCACTAAGACCCACTTGTTAAAAGACCGGACACCGAATCGAGAGGTGCACAACATTTGAGACACAATATGATATGTCACTGCGTCTGTTCTTAGGTGAAAGCTTTATTACTCATTGCAACGGCTAGCAAAAACAGATGCATTTTGTAGTATGAAACTCGGTTGTGGACCATGTGCCTCCAATCGAGATTGCTGTCAAGAGTTGCGACCATCTCTGACAGCAAAATCCCAGATGAGTGGAAAAACATGACACGAAAATATGACTTGGATGGGGATAAGAATTATAATGAGTTAGCATTTTTGTGCAAAAGTAACCACAAGGCAATCACCAATACTGATCGAGCAGGAACACACAGGTGTGTCAACATAAGTGCCGCCAATTGTTGCGAGGGTGATTTGATTAGAGATCGAGAGCAGCCACAGTCATGACATTGTTAGATCTGTTCCAATGGAAAGGGCCAGAAATGTCGGGATCGCAGATAGATGCCATCAAACAGAGAGCTCGAAAAACAAAGTAAAGGAAAGCTCAAGGTAACAGGTCTCTGTTGTCCACTAATTGCTTTAAAGGCGGTCAGATTTTGCCAACACGTTGCACGTTAAATGAAATAACAAAACAAAGCCAATTCACGGAACAAACAGTAAAACGTGGCGTCCGAAAGTACAATTTATGGGTTCCCAGCATTTATACGAATGGCACACTTCGCCTCGCGGACTCGTAATTGATGCAGGAAAACATGATAACCGGTTGTTTCCATGTCTGTCTAGTCGACGCAGAGAAACTCACCAAACAACAAAATTAAGTGGTCCTAGCACTGCGAGTGGCGCTTCTGTCAAATACTTGGTTGCAACACAAAATCGATAGAGTGCGGATGATATTTGGTTGGTCGGTTGAAGTTTTGAAGCCAACTCATCGGATACAATGAATCGCTTCGTCACAAAAGAAAAAAATAGCAGTCAAATGTTAATGATCTTACGATTAAGAGCGGCGGAGATAGTCCGCGACAGTAGACGATGTCCTGAGGATGTGTGTGTGCGTGTGTGTGTGAAAAGAAAGACAGGTATTCGAAATAACGGTTTCTTATAAACCGACAAGAAGATAGGAAAATATTGTGATCAGGGAAATTCTATTAACCTGGAGACTAAGGAAGTCACCAGGAAGTGAATGGGAACTAGGAGAAGATTAAGCCGACGTTGTGCTGTGACGTCGAACACCTCTTGTGAATTGATACTGCACAAGTTGTTCTATAGCGAGCACCAACAAGCCAACGAAGGGAATGCAGGCGGCTACGAGAAATGCCGGAGTGTACGAGCCAGTGCTATCGAACAGACGGCCTAGAAAAGGGGAGGAGAGAAACGAGGGTATAGTGGTCAGCAAGCAAATAGGAGTGAACAAATAATGATTAACAGAAGTACAAAAGGTGCATTTCTACTACGGTCGGGGTTAATGGAGCGGGCAATCAGAGTACCATCGACAGTAATCGTACCTTGACGCTCCAGCCTTAGCAGTTCGTGTAAAACCCACCAAGAATCAAAAACGAAGACTTGGTTCAGATCAGAAACTATATTGGTCAGAAGACAACATGCTATTTATAGGGTAACCTACGCTCCGTTGAGCGATTCCGTTCTCGTCTTCCATGATTGACTGCCTCTGGCATATATATGGAACGGACTAATTGGCCGTGTGGGTTTACAAGATGATTCTTGCTCAGGTGTGTAAGCGTTGCTGCTCGACTGTCGACCGACAAGTGTTCACCAGATGCCTCTTGCCTGTTCGCTCCGAATGCGCAGGCGAATACCAACAGCTGCCATTACAATGCTCCTAGCACAGCATTAAGTCATTGGTGAACCAACGCAACCAAACACAACCATGATGGTCCAGACATGAAGAGAGGAGAAAATGGAACCGGTATAAAATACAAATGCTTCAAAGATTTAGAAGCAAGACGCCATATCGTCTCATCGGCGGTATTGTGTAAAACTGGTGTCGGCAAGACAAGCTGCTATGGTTTTCAATGGCCGGTGTAACAACTTAGCCTCTGGTACATCAAAAATAAGTAGTACAGGAGAGAGACGACAACACATGCACCAGAAAATATCCCACAATCAGTGAAAGGAAAATAATGAGACGAGTAGATTTAAACCATGGAGGATGGAGTTAAGTAGGTCGTCCACCACTTTAGTCCACGTTACCAAGTCAACTTTCCCCCAACCCTGAAGCACGCGGCCATCCTACGTGCTTTTAACAAGGTAGATAACTCAAGCCACGAAGAGAAGCTACTATCCAAATGTGAATGACTAAGGATGGTAAACATTCAGGATAAGGGCAAAACCACCTGGAGGCAAATGAGGGCGTTAGCGCTGGAGTTAACTTGTCTTAAGCCCTTTTGCATCGCTGAAACTCAGTAATGCCTGAATCACTGGATTCTCGTGGTCACGAGATAGAGACGGTTCGTCGCAGTTAATGCACAATCTTCCAAGCATCCGGAAAGGCACTAGACGGTCGTTTCATGCTATTCGGAGTTATCAGCAGTGTGCATCACCCGAGCTCACATGGAACCGAACTCATGACCTTCAAGTTCTAATAGAGCGAAACTGCTATCCAGTGGTGTTCCATTGGGGCCTAGTCACAAGGAAGCATCTCTGACTAACATCAAACATCTCATTCTCATAGATATGCACAAGATACTTATCAGTGACGCACCGCGCGATTAGCTAATCGTTGCTGCTCGAGGTGTAATGTAAAATCTTTCTAAAAATGCTATCTATGAGAAATGAATCCTTGTGTACTGAGCCAAGGCCCAACGACCGCAATGTGCACGTCTGCTTACGCCACCCCAAAGTGAGAAATAAAAAGACCCCGAAGCTGCATGAACCCAATGCGGACAAGACACCATAGTGCCCTGGTTCTTTTTGTGCGTCATCATAGAGTCGAATATGTTACGTGTTAGCCTGCTGTTTGAGTATTGCGTAATCGGCTATGAAGGGTAGAACAAGGCAGACAGAATCCTAGTGCGGTAACTTCGGCATTAACCCTGCTCACACACAATGTGCCCATGTATTGTGCCTGGGCAAGGTATTTACCAAAGGAACTCATCGACCGACCGATGTGGATGCAAAGGCCAAAGATGCATAGTGCTTGCCCCAAGTAATTTACTCGTGATGCACCAGTATCAAGCTCAACAATGTGTAATGCTGGAAACAATATCCAACAGTGAAAGTGAGTGAATACCACCAGGCCCACCCATCGTATTGAGAAACGGTGTGCGTTTGCTCAACCCGCAGACTCACGGAAAAACGGCCCACCTGTCCTCAGATCTAGTGTTCTTCCAACAATTGGATGCGCGACAATGATCACCACAAAACTAAGGTAGAGATACGAAACAACAACATTCACAGGCAGGTTGTGGTTTTCGTGCTTTTATACCGCTAATAGCGCGACTTCTTGTATTGGAAGATGCGCAAACCCTTTTGACTATTTGTAAATCGATATTTTCAAACAAATGACTATCACATATTTCAAAAAATAAAAGGTTGTACAAAGTATTAAAGAATATGGCTTCAAGGTCATTTTGACAAAAGCAAGGTCAAGTATGGGCAAAAGGCCAAATCCGAATTCGTTACACTGAGGTACGAATCAACGAAACAGTAGCACTTAAGTTGTTGCTATTCTGAACAATGTGTTATATTGGTGTGTGTTACTGCAAGGTTTCCCTGTAGTAAGGTGCGATTTAAATCAATCAATGCTTCTAGAACGTATAGTGCTGTTCAACCTGTAACCCAAGCGGTAGAAGGAAAATGAATGAACAGAGTACTGCGTCAACAAACTATGCATGGACATTGCCGCCCACATTTTCGGATGGGATGCGGACAGAAAAGTAGTTATGTGTGTGTGTGTGTGTGTGTGTGTGTGTGTGTGTGTGGCAAACTATCACAGTAGATTGATTGGAAGGGCCATTTTGAAGCACTCATTGTGCAAATGAAATGCGATGCGCTATCTCACTTTGGATAGCGATTCGCATTAAAGTGAGCATTGGTCAGTCTGATCACATGGACTATAACTGATGAAACAGACAGAGCTTGGCAGCGTCACCTGCTTGAAAAACTTCAATCTCCAACTGATGAAAGAAGTTCGAAACCAGTCGTAGAGTGCAGGGTTTTCGGGCGGGCCACAGCCAACACCACAAGTGATTAATTATCGGTCGATCGAAAATTGACTAAACATGTGGCACGACACCCCACCAACTTGATTTGTAGAGAACCATGCAAAAGGATTGATCACAATCAAATGCGACTATGCAGAATGAAACACAATAGTAGCATGGCCCTATTGAATTGCATACCGATATACGCAATCTGAAATGGATAAGGTCAACAGCCAGTGCGAACAACTCCGCGTTCATGAAAGCAGGTGTTGGGATACACTGCTATTTTGTGACACACTGAAACACCGAATGGGCGAGTCTAACGAATACATCGTCAAGTAATCGTGATATTTTCGGCGCTGTTCGGATTGTACAAGCAGAGTTACCTGGAGATGGAAGTGGAATCCAAGAGGTGGTAATAAGTAGACGATGCCAGACGATCACCGGGGCAACTGCGCACCAGTAACAATGCTTGGCGGTACACCATGGTTAGGAATTCATTGTTTGGTCATTAATGAGTAGTGGAAATCTTGGCATAATTGCGGAGGTAGTTCGTCAAAGTTCCCTCTAAGTCAGCAGGCATCGACACGTATGAAAAAGCACCAGACAGTTGTTTTGACCTGCTGGGCCTCGGCAGTTGTGCGCCCTCCTCGGACCCCTGCTAGGTTTCAACCCCGTGACTTCCGGATGCCAGAAGTTAAGTCATGGATGAAGGTCGCGGACCTGCATGACTGACAGTTGACTACGATGTAGTCCGGCTCATCCTTCACTGCTATGCCAGTTAGGAACAGTGCAGATGACAGTGGTTGGCTCCAGGAGCTAGGTCTTTCCGCATAGCGACTGTGTACGATGCGGCACTTAGAAGCTATAAGGACGGGTTCGTTAGATTACTAATGAGTAATTGCGAGTTTGGTATAAGTTCAGAGGTAGTTTGTCGCAGTCCACTGCCAGTCAGCAGGCTGCCATACATCTGGAAAAGCACCAGACAGTCGTTCAGACCTTCTGGGTCTTGTCAGAGTATCAGCCAAGCGTGCCACGCTTTGCCCGTGGCCTAGGCATTAAGACATCGGCTGCACACCACATAGTCGCGGGGAGCCACTCCGACCATGCTGCTTTAGTCAAGGACGAAACCGGCCGCGGATTACGCTGTTCACAGGAGACTAATCCGAAAACCTATCCGTTCGGTGGATGCTAAACCAGTAAAACCAACGAAATGGCCAATGTTGACTTAGAAATCGTGGTCGCCAATAAGAATGCGTGTGTCAATCAGATGAAACGTTAAGTATCCCGAAAGCAACAAACGGTAGGTCAAGAACTTTAGTTGTTTTGAGTGATGCGCGTGCTGAATCTCCGTGAAATTTTAGAAAGTTTGCCGGAAAACAGCCGTTACGATGGTAGCTAAAAAGAGAGCAACAATGATCCCAGGCTGACTTCGTGCTTGCTGGCGTCAATAGCCCCAAATCAACCCCGATTGAGCACGTGGATAACACCAAGAGCAGCATTAATTTCAGACAGCACAAACAGGGCTCGAGCGCATGCTACGAGGGAAACAGTAGAAAGAAATGTGCCACAGTATGAATGAATCAAACGCTGTTAACATATGCAAAAACCCTGTTGCTCATTGATTAAAAATATCAATCGCGGCCCAGGTTTCGTTTTCGACTGTGGGAGGACCATCACGGCAGGCATCACCAGATTTGAACAGCAACTTGCAACTTAGTGACAGTAATAAGGGTCGGAATTTAAAGTTTACATGTAAAGTTACTTCAGTGAGTAAAACTGTAGTAAATAGTCCGTTTATAACAATATAAAATAACAGTAACAATGGATTGCGAGAGTATGTTGTTATTCGCTGCATTCACCTCAGTTGAAGGCGTGCAGTTATTAAGAGTTCAAAAATACAAAGCAGCTGACGGTCGATTGGAACGCTTCGCGCTACCACGAGAGGTTTGGAATTGTTGGTAATCGCTTCCGCACGTAGGCAGGCGCACACTGCCCGAAATAAGAAGAATTGATGAACGAATCCCTAAGCGATGGATGTGCAAAGTGTGGCCCGCGAGCCAAATGCCACCCGCTTTAACATTTCAACTGGCCCGCGGCCTCATCATGAAATAATAAATTTAACCTTGCATTTTTCCGTACAGACGACAATAGATAGATTACAAAAAATTGAGGAGATTACGAGTACAT